CAACAAAATGATCCGGCAATCCCACTCCTGGACATATATCCAGAGAAAAGCATAATTTGAAAAGATACAGGCAGCCCAATGTTCACTGCAGTACTATTTACAATAGCCAAGGCATGGAAACAAACTAAATGTTCAGAGGAGTAGATAAAGATGTGGTACATATATACAACGGAATATTGCTTAGCCGACTTTGCAACCCCATGGACTGTAGCCCACCAGGCTCCATGGAATTCTCCAGGCAAGAATACTGGAGTGGGTTCCCATTCCCTTCTCCAGGGGATCTTCCCGACCCAGGGACTGAACTCAGGTCTCTTGCAATGCAGGAAAATTCTGTACTGTCTTTACCATTGCTACTGCTAAGTCAGTTCAGTCGTGTCCGACTCTGTGCGACCCCATCCCTGGGATTCTCCAGGCAAGAACACTGGAGTGGGTTGCCATTTCCTTTTCCAATGCAAGTCTTTACCATTAGGAAGTCCTAAAAAAAAGAATGAAACAATGCCATTTGCAGCAACATGGATGGAGCTAGGGATTGTCATACTGAGTGAATTAAATCAGACAAAGACAAATGTCATATGATATTTCATGACGGAGCAACTGAACTGATGGCTTATACATGGAACCTATTAAAAAAAAAAAAACAGAAACAGAAACAGAACTATAGATGTAGAAACCAACTTATGGTTACCAGGAGGTATGTGGGGGGATAAACTGGGAGACTGGGATGGACATATACACACTACTATATAAAATAAATAACTAATAAGAACCTTACTGTGTAGCACAGGGAAGTCTGCTCAATACTCTGTAATTGCTGATTAAGGAAAAGAATCTAAAAAAAAGAGTAGATATATGTATAACTGACTGACTTTGCGGTATACCTGAAACTAACATTACATTACATGTAAACCAACTATACTCCAATAAAAATTTGAGAAAAATAGAACAACACATTCTCCTGGATAGCTGCAGCTTGGTGTTTTACAAACACCGCCAGTATAAAAGGCCCATTGTTGAACTTACCATCAGCCCCTCTTGAAATGCTCCATATGCATTTCTTTTCTTAGTAAATAAGACTGCCATTCACTGGGATGCATAATTTAGAAACCTGGAAATTCATCCTAGTCTACTTCTGTCTCTCTCAATTCATATCTGATGGGTCACCAAGTCCTGCACTTCTGATCTCATGTTCCTGAAATCTACCACCCCTTTTCCAACTCCACTGCTGCTATCCTGACCATCTCTTTCATAGACTAAAAATAACTTCATCACTGGTCTTCCTACCTTTTTTTTTTTTTGCCTTGCCTCCCTTCTGTTGCCCATGCTGCTGCCAGAGAAATTATTTAACATGCAAATCAATTCTCACCATGAGAAAAATCCTTCAATATCCACATTGTCAAGAGGTGAAAATCTAAACTTCTTAGCATGACTTTAAAAGCTCTTTATTATCCAATACCTACTTAACGGTCTTGCCTCATTTCCTGATATTCTCTGAAAGTGCCCTAGGCTTCAGATATATGGATCTACTTTCGGATTCCCAACATGCCAAGCTCTCTCTCTAATAATTCAGTGTCTTTGCACCTGCTCTCCTTCTGCTTGGAATTCCTTGTCAGTCATGTTGGCTTGACAAACTCTGACTTAAGTTTCAAGACTCAACTGCAGGGTTATTTTCCCTTCTTTAAATTGTTCAGTTAGCCATAAGTGCTCTGTACTTGAGTTCCTTGTTGGTATGGTACAAACATGCACTACAGTAATTTTAACTATTTATTTATTTTTGTTTCATTAATTGGATTTTTTAAACGAGGTTGTAAGCTTCTAGAGGGTAGGGACTATATGATTAATCTTATCTTTGCATGCCCAGCGCTTTACTGAGACTGGCCTTGAATATTTTTAATAGGCACTTGAATGCACGTGAAACAAATTATTAAGAACAGCAACCTGACTGAACTTAAGCTATAGATTTTCACCTGAGTAGCTTTAAAGAAATTGCAAAAAAATAAATAATACATTAAAGCAAATTTAAAAACAGAAAACTAAAGTAAATTTCCTATTGATTCACTATCGTAATCACTGTTTTAGTGCATTTAGTTTTTGTCTTTTCTCAAACATGTGATATTAATATATATATGTTTCTATTTAAACATGTAGGTATATATTTATATTTTATATAGCTGCAATTAAAATCTACATGCACTTTGGGATTTCCTTGGTGGTCCAGTGGCTGAGATTCTGTGATCTCAATGCAGGGGATCCCAGTTCAATTCCTGGTCGGGAACTAGATCCCGCATGCTGCAACTAAAACTTCACATGCCACAACTAAAGATCCTACAAGCTGTACTAAGACCCTGTACAGGCAAATAAATAAATATTTTTTAAAAAAATGTGCATTTTTATAAGTTTTCAAGCTTAATGAACTGTAAACATTTTTCTAACAGTTTTATAGTCCTCCAAATTATTATTTTCCAGGACTACAAATATCTCAATTCCCTACTAAGGTTGATAGTCCAAATGAGACTTAGGTTATACCCAGTTTTCTATTATAAATAGGAATAGATCCAGGTTTTGTGAACCTGAAATTTATACAATTTTGAGTGATGTTTTCAGAAAAAGAACACAAAATTATCTTACTTTTGCAAATATGACCATGTGAACACATTGTGTTTCACAGGGGCCTGTGAAAGTGGGAAGGGAGTCCTGAAGGTTAATTTTCATTGGCTTTCCAGTTATCGATCTCCAGCTAGAAATAATCCTGGACTAAACATTTTGAGCATGATTATTTTTTCCCTTTGTTTCCATGATGTCTAAAGGATTCCCTGTTACCAGGATCCCATTTGCCTTGCGGGAGTTGGGAAAGGAAATGATCATTTATTGAGCACCTATTACATAGTGACCAGTTTCTATATATTTTCAAATTTAATTCCTACCACAAGCCTGAAAACAAAAATCTCCATGTTACAGATGAGAAAACTGAGGTGCAGTGCGCTTAAATCGTATCCTCAGAGTTACACATCTAGTGACTGGAAGGGTTGGATCCTTCTGGTCTTATTCCAAAGCTCATACCTTCCTGACTACATCATGGTGTCTTCACAGCCTCATAGCTTCGAGGTAATGTTTTCTGGGTTATTGTTGAAAACCGGTTCTTAGTGATTTGAGGATGACAGAATACAAAACTTGCAGAATCCTGACACTGTTCATGGAAGAAGGTAATTTAGATCAGTGGTGGCTAGACTTTCACAGGTGCATTGAGGAGAGAGATTTGGCTCTTTCTAGCCTGCCTGGAAATCCCATGGACAGAGGAGCCTGCCGGGCTACAGTCTGCGGGGTCGCAAAAGAGTCGGACACGACTGATTTCGCTAAACAATCCGCTTACAGACACGCATCACCTTAGCTCGATGTCCATTTCCATTCTGTGGTCGGAAGACCTGGGTTAGGTCAGGACTTGCTATGGTCTACGTGTGCGGCCTTGGGAAAGTCATTGAGTCCCCTAGGTTCCCATTTTCCCCCTCTGATGCAATGAGGATGCCAAGTGACACAACCTGTCTTAACCCAGGGTAGTTATGAGTGTCAGACCTGCGTGTGAGCAGCACTTAGTGAATTTCAGTGTTACTGCTGGAGTAGCTCCGGCTCCGCGCCACCTGCTCACAGGTAAGGGTGACTGACAGGTGGGTAGAATGCTGCTGATGGCTTCTTTAGGTTAACTCTCAGTGGTACTGTCCCCCTTACTTCACCACCCCCCGCCCCCAAGCTGCCACGTGATTCCAAGGGCTTCTGGGCCGTTACTCCTGAACGCCCAGTGCAAGGCGGCGAGCAGCCGGCCAGATGCTGTGCAAAATCCAGAGTCTGAGATTCCGAGGAATCTTCCTCTCCAATCTGAGAGCGGATCGTCAAAACATGCCAGACATTTATCACTAAACGCAGTTTGCAAAATTCTAGCACCGTCCCTTTGCTCTGTTAGGTGCTGACGCATTTATCTTAGAATTTTATCTGCCCGTTTAGAAATCCTTTAGTCCTTGTCGGACTTAATTTTGGTGGGCAAACTGTAGTTCTGGGAAACCAGGAGAAAATTTTAAAAATTTCAGTTTTCTGTTGGCGTTTGAATACCCTTCACCATACCCATGTTCAAAGCCGGTGGAAGCAACATTAGTTTTTATTTTCCTTAAAAAAAAAAGAAAAAGATGCTTAAACAGATTTCCAACCCTGGGACTAAACTCATGCCTCGCATCGGGATCCAGGTGGCTCCCCGAGCGTGGACCTGCGGGCCCAGTTAGCAGTCTCCTGCCGCCCACCGTGGCCCCGGGCCAGGTGGCGGCCGGCGTGGACCGGGAGCCCCATCTGGCTCGGCCGGCGGCGGCCGCACAAAGAGCGGCGCAGCTGGCTGCCGGGCCGAGCCGCAGAAAGTAGTCCCGACCACGCCGGCTCCCGATGTTGTTCGATGTCGCTTCACGCCCTCCGCGGGGAGGGCAGAAGGGGCCGGCCCGGAAAAGAATCCCTTCGGAATGCGCCGCCGGGCGGCCTTTCCCCTCCTGCCCGCCTCTGCTGGCCCCGCCGATCTCCTGGGGTCTCCTCGCCGAGGCTGTGCGCACGGTCTCTTCTCCTTTTCTAACCTGCCCGGGAGGCGGCGCCCAGGGAGGGGAGGGCTCGCCCGCGCGCAGGGAGACCTCGGCGGCGAGCCGTGACGGCGGGAGGCGTATCCCTACGCCGCTGCGTGAGAGGAAGAGGCTGAATGAGGAGCTGCGCGGGGGAAGCGGGGCGCCGGGGGAGGAGGCGGCGGGATGGAAGCAGACGCTGGCGTCGCGCGAGCTCCGGGCGGAGCGGCGCGGTAGAGAGGGCGGCGGCGGCGGCGCGCGCGGAGCCTTGACGGGCCCCCCTTTCTTTCTTCTCTCTCTGGAAAGCTGGGAAGCATGAGCGTGCAGCCCTGCCGCTGCGGCGGCCGCCCCGGCTCCTCGCCTCCCCCTCTTCGGGCCGCCCCTCGCCGGTGAGAGAAGCGAGCGCGAGAAGGGAAGATGGGGGCTGTCCTGAGGAGCCTCCTGGCCTGCAGTTTCTGCGTGCTCCTGAGAGGTGGGAGAGAAAGCGGGGGGACGGGAAAGTTGGGTTTGCGGGGGTAAGGGGGGGTTTGTTCTGTTGTGTCTGCGGGGGGCAGGGGAGGCGGGGAGGCGAAGCTGGGGAAGAGGAGTCGGGAGAGGCCTGGTCGTGGGGAAGGAGGGAGCAAGGGGCCCGGGAGAAGGGGCTGCGCGCTCCGCCCGGCCACGCTGCAGCCCCCGCCTCGCTTGGCCCACCGCGTCCGGATAGAGCGTTCGTCCGGGCTGCCTGGCGGGGTGACCTCCCCCCGGAACCCCATCCTGTCCGAGTGACTGGGGATCGGTGGGTCCCCTGCCTGCAGTCACCGGGGACGAGGGGCTTTGTATGGATCTTGGCTCTCGGAACGTTGGAGCCTAAGATGCTTCAGCGTTTGGATTTCTCCCTCCAAGCCCCCACCTTTTCCCTGTGGGTCCCGTGAACTTTTAGAGCCTCCTTACTATTTTTTCCAGGCCTTGTAACAACTAATAACTGGTTTCCGTGGAGGGTGTAATGATCGTGGGTGAGAGCACAGTTGGAAAAGGATTCCGAGGTTATAGGTCGAGTGTTTTCAGCCTTGGGGAATCGCCTGGGCTCCAGCCCATAATAAAATAGAAACGTTGCCCTTGCAACCTCTGGCATTCAGGACTTGCCCCTATTTTCGGAGCATGCAAGTGTACAGTTGGCACCAATTAGGAAAGTCATCCTTGGTGGAGAGAAGCCTTGTCCTGGGACCTAACTTATCGTCTGCTGCGCTCCCCTGGAGACTGCGTGGCACGTTGATAAATAACATAGGCTATTCTAGGTACTCTTCCCCGAGAATCGCCTAAATTCGATGGTCCCAGGTTTTGTTTTTTAGATTGGCCTGCGAAGCTGTCACATATAATGCGGCTTTTATTTTGTGACAGTTCACTGAGGTTTTTGACTGGCCCGCAAGATTTCAACAGCTCTTCTCACATCAGTGGTGAAGTGGTGATGACTCTGATGCTATGGGGCATTTACCAACAGACGAATTTAGGTACCAGTTGATGCAATGACTTGAAGCTTTGGTTTCAGTTAACAATTCTCACTTGTGTTCACGGTCAGTTCTTTGCAGGTATGGGACCTTTTGGGTGTAAGGAGATTTTTAGCTGTTAATTTAATAGGCTAAATTTATATTCATTGTGCACACTTACTGAAGTTTCCAGAACACAATAGTAACAGACTTGTGTTATAAATGAGCCAGATATGCCATTTCTGAGTATATATTTATTGGATGAGCATGATTGACATTGTTTTGGAGGAGGAAATTTTTTCTTTAGTTATACTTCAGGATTATTCAGGGAGATCCCCTGGAGGAGGAAATGGCAAACCACTCCAGTGTTCTTGCCTGGGAAATCCCATGGACCGGGGAGCGCAGAAGAACTGTTGATTTAACTGAGACACGACTGAAGTGACTAAACAGCAGCTGCAACAGCAGGATTATTAGGTCTGCCTGTTTTATTTACTTAATTACAACTCACTGTAAGCATATTCTAAACTATTTCCACGTGTAAACTTCAGAAAGCTAGTGCTTATTTCATTTTCTTGGCAGAGAATTGAATGCAGTGCTATGTACTTGAGAGGTCTAGTAAGTATATGTTTATTTTAGTATGATATAGTCCCTATTGAAGGGGGATTTTGCTATAGTTGTGAGAAACAATTTTATTTGACATAGAATATGGATATATTTTAAGACAGAAGGTTAATAGAATTAACAAATAGAGTCCGCTGTTGAGTTAAATAAAGCCTGGGTGAAATTGCATTCCATTACCCAGATGCTTCTGGTTGCCCAATTGTATTTCTTGGAAGAGAAGGTTATGTTGTAAATGCCACTTTAACACCAGGATTGAGCCCAGAATTGGGTTTATTCCTTATTGGAGTTAAGAGAAGTTACACTTGAAATAATATTGTGAAGTATGATATTATGTAAGAAGACCTAGAAAAGTTAATAGTTCAAATTGCCTCATTTCCACCAGCAGAGTTTCCAAAAGTGAAGCTCTTATTTTAAATGTAGTCTAATCATGGTTTAAGGTGACCTTTGAATTTAACATCCTTAACCATGGGTATATATTTGAATTAAAACTCTTTTTACTGTGAAAGATTTTTATTCATAATTTAGGTTCTTCTCATTCCTTGATAATGTCATCCTCTGTTAAAATTGTTATTAATTCATCTTGGACACCAAGAGAAACGTGATTAATTTGTTGTATTAAGATCACTTTTCTTCACAGAAGAGTTGGAGGTTTAACATTCGAAGATGGGATGATGGGAGAGTTTGGGAGACCTTTGGTCCTCTGGCCCAGTTAAATCAATAGTTGAAAGCCGGGAAATAATGCTGTCATTATCTGGACTGTGTCCTCATCCCTGTCATCGAGGACAAGGTGTAATGGAAAGATTGGGGGATTTCAGCACCCAAACCTTGAGTTTAAAGTCCGTGCTTCTGGAAGTCTATGTCTACCCCCACCCCAAAACATGTTGAAATCCTAACCCTAAATGTGACAGTGTTAGGAGGTAGGACCTCTGGGAGGTAATTAAGTCATGATGGTGCAGTCCTCTCTATACCATACTTATAAAAGGGACTCCAGAGAATTCTCTCATCATCTCTCTGCCATGGGAGAATACACTAAAAAGACAGCAGTCTGCAGCTTGGCAGAGGCCCCTCACCAAAACCTATCCATGCTGGCACCCTGATTGCAAACTTTTAGCTTCCAAAACTTTGAGAAATAAATTTCTGTTATTTATAAGCAAAAAAAAAAAAAAAGTCCATGGTTCACTACCAAATAACCTTGTGATTCTGATCTAGTCAGTTTTTCTGGGCTCCAGTTTCTTTATCTGTAAAATGTGGGTAGTATTACCAAGCTAGTTTGCAAATTTGTTAGGCATGTTAAGTGAAATACTGAATATAAAGTGATTTGCAAATGTTATTTTTTGTTATAATTTTCGATGGTGGACATATCCTTAAATGCCGGGGATTTGAGATTTAATTTCTATGAGATTCACAAGTTCTTAAAGATTTTGATCCTTCTGGTCTAACCACTTCATTTGCAAGTGGGGAAACTCACATTCAGAGAGATTATAACTTGATCAAAATCTTACAAGTGATTAATATTAGAGCATGGATTTATTGTTCATTCTTTCAGCAATTAGCTATGGAATACCTGCTGTGTATCAGACTCTGATGGTACATTGGTGAGCAAAATCACCATGGGCCCTGCTCTGATGGACCTCACCATCTAGGTTGCCATCCTTAACTTCCATCCAGTTACTGATTAGAAAAGATTAGACCTCTGATTTCCTAGAGGAAATTTTTTTATATAAGAATATAAGTTTTGGTGGCTAAATTTCATAAATACTGTGTCCCAGCGTATTTTGAGAAGGTTTTGTTGTTTTGCAAGAATTCTTTGCTACTTTTTTTGTTGTTGTTAATTTGTTTTTGTGGGGTGGTGGTAAATACTGTCAGCACAAGCCACTGGTGTTTTCCATCTCAAAGTTTTATAGGAGTTGTCCTTGGAAAATTGCTTAATATCAAGTATAATGAGATCTTAGGAGGATAGAATGAATTTTGGAGTGGGAATCAGAATTTGATTCTCATTCTAAGTTTGCCAGTAGCTAGCTGTGTGACCTTGGATAGGTCATTTAATCTTCATACACCTTCTTTAGCTTCATTAGGATGATGAATCCTTCTTTTTGCAGGTTCTTACTTCATATTAACACACTAAGGGCTCTGAGAAGTTATGAGGTAGAGACCAGTTTTAACTTTGTTGAAATTTACTGTTTCCCAGACTCACCAATGAACTTTTTTTGGTGATTTCTGTAATTCTGTAAATTTTGTAACATTCTGCTGAACCTGTGTTCCAGGAACACATGTAGAGAGAACCTGAGCTAGGTAGCCTTTTAAGCATTACAGCGAGTCATGTGAATTGATATTTGATGACAGTTTCATATAATTAAATTTGATACTTTAATCCCTGCTTACTTACTTGGCTTTAGATTTGCTCATCTGGCTAGGAAATAATTTGACTAGTTATGAAACTTTTGGGTTTCAATTCATTGTTTTCATCAGGCCAAACAGTAATTTCCCATGGTTCAGTTTTTCAGATAATTTTTCTTTTCTTTAATTGAAAATTTTCCATTTGCTGAACTGAAATACTTTTCTGTATAGTTAGTTGTATATGCTTTGACTATCAGAAAGGTTAGTCTTTTTTTTTGAGTATCAAGGAAGGTTCTTTGAAGGAGTATATAAATGGAAAATATTCTATGTGAATTTATAAATTGAACATAATGGGAAAATAAGTAACACAGGTTATAGTCATGTTTAGGCCATGTGTAAGTACTCTGAGAAAATTGATTTTTATCATGGAAATTTTATTGCAGACTTATATTCTGAGAAGACTATAAGGAGGGGAGCTGTAGCAGAAAGCTGTGGGCTTTGTTGACAAACCAAGTTCAAGTCGTCTACCACTTTATGGTACCCTTGGACAGGTTACTTAGCTTTAGTTCCTACTATTAGATGGGGCTAGTATCTTCCAAGATTTCTGTGAGAACTCATGGTTTGTTTGCAAAGGCGTGGTCAGTAGTAGACTTTGAGTGAAGAGTTATTGTTAAGATGGCTAATTTAAAAGAAATATTAATGCTCAGGAAAGACAAATAAAACATGTTCTGGGCACTGTTTTAGGCCAGTAGTTTCTGAACTTGATTATTCTGCAACTGGAGCTACATGAAACACTTTGATATTTTCTATTTTATTTTATATAAACAACATGGCCTCTATCTACTTAATTTAATTTACCTTTTAAGGGATTACAACTTGAACCTTTTATGTGATTATTATAAATAAGAATAGTTGATTATGATACTTATTTTAAAATTGCCCATATTTATGGACAAAATAAAGTATTCCTAATAGAAAATTTTGTCATTGTATTAATTGTTTATAATGATTAAAATAATGTGATTCATGGACTCCTCCCTGTAGGGTGGGT